AATAATAATAATAATAACAATAATAATAAAAGGGTAACAAGAATTGACAAGGATGTGGGGAAACTAAAACCCTTATGCACTGTTTTGAGGAATGTAAAATGATGCAAGCACTATAGAAAACAGTATGAAGATTTTCCCAAAAATTACAAATAGAACTATTATATGATCCAGCAATTCCACTTCTGGGAATTTATTCAAAAGAACTGAAATCAAAATCTCAAGAAAATATCTGCACTCCCATGTTTTTTGCAGCATTGTTCACAATAGCCAAGACACAGAAACAACCTAAATTCCCATTGACAAATAAAGGGATGGAATATTACTCAGCCTTAAAAAAGGAGATTCTGCCATATTCAACAACATGGATGAACCTGGAGGACATTATGATAAATAAAACAAGCCAGCCACAGAAGGACAAATACTGCATGATTCCACATACATGAGGTGTCTATAATAGTCAAACTCATAAAAAGAGAGAATAAAATGGTGATTGCCAGGGTTTGGAAGAAGAGGGAAATGGGGAATTCCTGTTCAATAGGCATAAAGTTTCAGTTATACAAAATAAGTTCTAGAGAGCAGCTGTACAGCATCATGCCTCTAGTTAATACTACTGTACTGTACATTCAAAAATGTAAGAGGGTAGATATATTAAGTGCTCTTACCACAATAAATTTAAAAAAATAGATCATAGCAGGGTTTAGAGCTAGCTGCAGGTGTTCAGAGTCTGACCTCACAGTAATAGTCCACTTTTTTAAAGACCTTCAAGATCTGTTTTAGGGGAAAGTGAGTAAGTTTTAAAGGCCCAGAAAGAATGAAAATGTGAACATGGAGCTATGGACTTATATGAAATAAAAGATGTTCTATAAAAGATATCCCAAAGTCTACTTTCTAAATTTCATCCTTTCTACATTTCCTGCTTTATTTCCATATGCTGCAAATTGCATATGGTTTAGTTTACCCCACCCTTTCAAATTTCCATTTTCTCCTAACAGAGTTACACCTGCATTTATCACAAATATATGTGAAATTCTGATGATGGTGTTGGTTAACTACCTAAATGTTGTGACCTGGTGGGGAGAGGAGGGTCCTGAAGGTCTGCTTTACAGATTTGATTTCATCTAGGACCTGTCCTTTGGAGACTCAGAGAGAAGCTCCAGCAAATAGTTGTGTTCTGGAGGTTAGAAAGGGCAGATATAAAGATAGGGCACAGCAAAAGTTCAGTACTTCTTGATGACAAGCGTGTAAGCTGTTGGAATTAAATTTTTTTTCTAACCTTGAGGAGTTTTATGAATTACTAGAGGGTAGAAATCAACATTATCATTCTCCTTTCTACTTCAAACTGTTACTATTTATTGCCTGTTCACCATATGCCAGGCATCCTTCTGAGTGTGTTTCATACGAAATAGTTCATTTAATCCTTTCAACAACCTTATGGAGAGGGGAACGGATTACTCCCATTTCAAAGATGAGTAAACTGAGGCCCAAGAGGGAAAGTAATTTTCTAGGGCCCCACAGGTGGTAAGAGCCTGAGTTAAGTAAAGTGATTCTGGCACCAAAATTTTTTTACATATCCTGAAAGGATATCGTAGAGACTTGATGGGTAGACCTGTCTCCTCAGTTCTTCATGGTTGGCTAATTAGCTGTAACTTCCTGAGGTCAAAATGAAGGTGACTTTGAAATCAGTCCTTCCTCCAGATATCAGGCATTTAGCAGTCCCTCACCATTTCTTCCTGGTTAGAGATAGATATAGGAAGGTCAATCTTGTAGAATGCATTCTGCCTAGCTAGTGAATGGTCACTCTATAGCAAACTTAGATTCAGGTATTTGTGGTATAACTAAAACTATATAAATCCCAAATGCAACTTTAGGGGAAAAAAAGATTTGCTAGAGACAAATTCAATCATCTACTATAAAATCTGCTGCTACCTTGATTTCTTGTGACGTTAAATATAATCAACCAATTACAGATTTCATATGTAGATAAAGGCATAGTTTTGACTGCAGTGCTTCTCTCTAATGTTGTAGAGGGTTTCCTAGCCATACACAGCTAAGTCAATTTTAAGATTCGATTTTCTTCTTCATTGTACCTCTTAGCCCTCTGCACTTCTGTCTGCATTTATGTGTTTCTGCCATTTTCCTACATGTGCACATGTTCAGTAGTGTTAGAAAGAAATGATTCCAGGGGTTCTTATGTCAACTGTCTGCCTCTCTACACACTGAGATGGTTTTATTCTTATTCTTATTGTTTAAAAAGCCCTTAGGATACAATAGCTCCACCACTTCTTAGCACTGTGACTTCGGCCACATTACAACCTCTCTGTGCCTCAGTTCCCTCAAGTATTAAATAGATTTAAATTGTACTCACTTAATACAAAAAAGGACTTGGCACAGTGCCTGATACAAAGTAAACACTAAATACATGTTAGCTATGATTATTATTACTATTATTAACTTGTGGAGGAACTCACTTCTTCCCAAAGTATTACCAAGATATCATTTAGGAAACAAAACCCACATTTAAAGACTTTTAGGGTTAGTATGGAGGATCTGAGATATTTTAAAATTTAAGACCCTTTTTAAATAAGAGCTAACATGTATTGATTACTTATTACATGCTAGGTATTGGGTTATGCCACGTGTTTGTATGTATGACATACACACACACATCTGTGTATATATATAGTCACTTAATCTTTGCTGTAACTCTACAAATCACTAAAATTACTTCAGAGGAATTAAGCAATTTGCCTAAACCTCCTGTTGAGTAGGACTTGAGCCTAGGTTTATATCCTGGTCCATCAAATATGTATTCTTACGTGCTTAAGTTAGCAAAGCAATAATGCCTCTTACACTTTAAGAGCTATCATTTTCCAGAGTTTTTCCATGTGCCACGGCCATTTAAATGAGAAGTTGCTCACTGTGGCATGTATCATGATGATTAAAATACATTATTTCAGGGGCGCTTGGGTGGCTCAATCAGTTAAGCCTCCTACTCTTGATATCAGCTCAGGTCTTGATCTCAGGGTTGTGAGTTTAAGCCCTGAGTTGGGCTCCACACTGAGTGTGGAGCCTACTTAAAAAAAAAAAAAAAAAAGTTATTTCTGTGGTTCCAGCATTCTGGACTTCACGGATCAGTAAATTTTTCAAAAATTGGAGACTTAACACAAAATTGTGTTATTCAATTTTTTTATGGGGGAAATCACTGTATCACCATTGATTTTTTTTCTTTTGCTAAGAATATAAACATCAGTCACATTATCAGATAAATTATACACTTAGAATTTGGGATTCCTGATTCCTTGGCCAAATTTTTTATAGCATTTTAAAAAATTCAGATACATTTCACATAATATAAAATTTATCATTTTGAAGTGTACGCTTCAGTAGTTTTTAGTATATTCACTCTGTTTTGCAACCATTATCACTACCTAATTCTAGAATATTTTTATCATCCCACAGACCCCATACCTATTAGCAGTTAGTCCCAATTCCCCCCCTTCCTCATCTCCTGGCAGCCATTAATTTTTCTGTCTCTACGGATACGTCCTTAGGCAAATCTTCTATTTCTGCACAAAATGACTGTCTGAGATCTGTGATTTGTTTCTTATTCCTTGCTGCCTAAATCAAACTGCCTGCCCAAAGCTTTACCTTGGTGTGTCGTTCCCAGTGGCATATGTAATATATATGATAGACGGCATCAAAGTACAAAATTCTAAGAGGTCCTATCAAGGTTAGCAAATGTTGCCATACGTATGGATTTTAATATGAAGAAATATACTACATACTTTCTACATTTCCACTGTTCACATTTACTTACAGTTTTAGTTTACTTCTAATTTTAATTTCAATTTTAGATTTTCCTCATCTTTTCTTTCTCTTCTTTTGGTATTCATATAACATGTCAAATTACATACACTTTGAACTTAATCTGAAGGCTGCTAATGTTTTCAGTAACCACTACAAATCAAAATAGTATTATAAGGGCCATCTTTTTTTTTTTAATTTACATCTAATTGAGGTTCCCAAATTCTGGTCCAAATCTGTGCTATATTTAATTGCTCTATTCTCTGTACATCCATACACTCGGTTCATTTCTCAGATAATTTCCTTTTAAAATAGAAATTCAAGTGTATTACTATGTTCCACTGTGATTTACCTATTTACATGTCTCAGAGTGGAATCTGAACTCCTGGAAAGTAAAGACTTCGTCTATACAAGTTTGATTTCCAGTACGGTGCCTGGTGCGTGGTATGAACTAACATAACTACTGCTGTTGAATGAAGGAAGAGGTTTTAAATATATACACAAGCATATGCATAAAAATTTATAACACCCAATTATATATTACATAATATCCATATGTAACATACATATAAGTTCACAGCTACATTAAAAATATTTAATATTTGAACAATTCAAATGATATATTTGAACATCATAAAATGTTAAATATATCGAGTTTTACAGAGTATGATTTTATAATAACCTGTAAACTAGTTATTACACACACAGAAACACACAAACAGGATATTCCCCACAGCGTAATTACAAGATGGAGGAACAACGAATCGAAGAGCGTGGAGATTCAAGTCAGGTAAACAAACCTGCATTTGGATTGCCTAGCGCTACTTGACTGACTTTGGCTATTTCTTTCTGAACCTGAATTTTCTGTGACGTCGAGATAGTTATTACCATGCTTAGGGAATTGGTTTAAGGATAGGGCTAATCTATATTAAGGGCTCGACACTTTAGCAGGCCCTTCAAGAATCTTAGCGGGCACTTTATCCCTCAGACTTTAAGTAAAGGTGTTTAATTTTTCTACATATTATGAGTCTTTTCCAGTGAGGGAAACCTACCCAGATGCCAAATTTGTCAATTCAGAGAGTCCAGATAAACTAAAATCACAAAATCATTCATCTCTAACTCTGACGGACTGCTAAACCCGCAGGGAGCGCTGGGTGGACCTCCACTATCCCAGCATTCCCCGCGGTGCTCCCGTTGCTCTTCTACCGCGTCTCTATGGTAGAGCCGGCCTCTGAGGCGGCAGCGGCGTTGGTGGCTTCGGTGAGGAAAAGTGAGAGTTCTAACTTTCCTCTTGGCCTGAGAGGTTTTTGGCGCGGAGCGTCGTCATGTCGGAGAAAAAGCAGCCGGTAGATTTGGGTCTCTTGGAGGAGGACGACGAGTTCGAGGAGTTCCCTGCCGAAGGTAACCGGCTGGGCCCCGGCCTCTGGGCCAAGCGGACGGTGACTCAGGCCTGCGGGTGGAGTCGGCGCGGATGCTTGGGCCCGGCCCCGAGGCGCCCGCGGGAAGTCCGGACCCTTGCGGCCGGCTCTCGAGGCTCTGCACGCGCGACCCTCCATGCGACCGGCTTCGGGTTCGGAGTGTCTCGGTGGGCCTCACTAGTGAGGCTAAATGCTTTCTGCTTCCTCATTGGGAGGAGCCACGGTGACCTGGGCCTCTAGCTCTGAGTCCGGGATGGTTGGTCCTTTTTTTTTTTTTTTTTAACTCTTCAGCCGAGTTACCCGCCACTTTGTTCATGGCTATATAAACCTCTTTTTTCTTTATTTTCTTGTAGTGTAGCAGCCTTCCTTTGTCCTTAAACCATCCAGAATTAAATTGCTGTACCTGGTTAGGCCAATATTACTTACTTTTAGGACTTTACAAATGAAGCCTCTTAAGTAGAATGGGAGGATCAGGTGTTGGTGGGTAAAAACACGTTATTACCCTATCCTTGTTTCTCATTTTTGATCACTTCAAACTAACAAAGTTTAAGGATTTATAAGATCCTAAAACGTCTACATTTTTATTAGCTTCATGGTTACCAAGAGGAACTTTAGTTTTCTCATTGTAAGTGAAAGCAAATAGCTAACATTTACTGGCTAATTACTTGTCTGAGTGTTTTGCTTGTATTCATTTTCACAGTTCTAGCAACTAGGTACCGGTATTACCGTTTTTCAGATAAAGAAATTGAAGTTTGGAGCTATTAAGAAACTTGTCCAATGCCACATAGCTGGCTAGAAATGATGGATACCTTCTAGGAATGATGTACTGCTTCTGTTTAATTTTTAAATTGTTGTTGCCAGATAGGTTTCCAGAATTATTTGCTTTATTGTCTGTTATGTGTAGGATAAATATTTGTCTTGTAAGAAAAGGCTACTGTTGGGTAGCCTTTCTGAAGGTGGTAGGAAGAGAATTGTGGTTAATGGTGTACAAATCTGTTATGTTAAGCAATTACAACTTCACTAAAATTGTTCTAAGTTGTACCCCATTGTGATCCTATTGTGCATAAAAACCACATAGCTTGAACATTTGTTCTTTTTATTTATGGTGTACTCTATTTTATTTAGCGGTAGAAGACATTAGTGTTCATAGGACACAAACTCATAAACTAACCCAAAGCATATTTCAGTTATGGGATTCATTATATATTGAGGGGATTGTTTTGTTTTTGTTTTGGTAGTGGATTTATCTGTCCAGACATATTTTCTCTCTTTTTTTAATAAGATTTTATTTATTTATTTGAGACTAGCGGGGGCAGGGGAGAGAATGAAAAGGAGAAGCAGGCTCCCCGCTAAACAGGGGGGTAGGGGGCTGGATCCCAGGACCTGGGGATCATGACCTGAGCTGAAGGCAGACCCTTAACTGACTGAGCCACCCAGGCTCCTTTCCTTTACCTCACTGTCAAGTTGGTTCATAATCTAAAATTGAGCTATACAGTAGAGAACTGACTTAGGGCAGGATTAACTTTTTACTCAAACTTCCTATTTCAAATAGCTTTTATCCATTGTTTATCACAGTGCTAGGCACTTCGTTTACATTATATGGTCCATCACCACAACTGGTGAGGAAACCGATGCTTAGATTTAAAAAACTTGTCATTAAGTAGTCAAGCCAGGATCTGAAAGGTCTGTGTGACTCTCCAACATAAGCTATATTTTTAACCTTTAGCAAAGTGCCTGGCACATAGTAGGTGGTTAATATATGCTTGTTTAATGAATAAACCTGCATTTAAAGCAAGTAGTTGAGAATTGACTGCTTAGAAAGTTCTAGAGATAACTGTGTACCTAATGATACAAATGATTTTTCTCAGCAACTTTGAGTTCAGTTTTTGCAGAATATGTAGTTGTTTTTATTCTAAGTTTATGTTGTAAGTTTATTATTTGTTCAAAGTCTTGGTAGTCATATAGTAAAAAATCTCATTAAAGTTACGAGGAAAAGCAGAGAATATTTTTTAGGGGGTAGGGGCTGAGGGAGAGAGAATCTTAAGCTAGGCATGGAGCCTGACGCAGGGCTTATCTCACAACCCTGAGATCATGACCTGAACCGAAATCAAGAGTTGGTCAATTAACCAGTTGAGCCATCCAGGTGCCCTGAGAATTTTTTTTTTTTGAAGACCAAGCCCTCTCATGATCAACCAGTTTGTTAAAATTAAGTAACTCACCACTTAACTGGTCACCTTATAGAATATTTGTTGTCTTCAGGTTTGGATGTGTAGAACCTAATTCATTTAGGAATTTTTCCATTTAGAATGAGAAATAACATTGAAATGTTCAGGTTTCTATATTCTTCTGTGGTTTATAATTTAGACAGGTTTTCCTTTCGTGTTAATTTGAATTGAGGTTTTGCTGGGTACAAAATTAGCCCAATAGGTGAAACCAATCAATATTTACTAATAAAAACTGCTCTTATAAAAAACAAAACTAAAAGAGAAAAAACCTGGAAAAATATCACCAAGGAATTACTGAATTATTTTTCTTTTGAAACTATACATTTTTAATTTGTTTTTTATGGCCTAGTCATGGTTTAGTCTCCATTGCTGTTAGTTGTGATCCATGGACCAGCAGTTTTGGCATTAACTGGCAGCTTATTAGAAATGCAGTGTCTCAGCCTAGACCTACTGAATTAGTGTGGACGTTACCAAGATTCTTTAAAGATTTGTATGCACATTACAGTTGGGAGAATAACTAAATGGCCTATTTTGAATTTTTTAGTATTTGAATTTTCAGTTCAGTGATTATGCCTTGAATTACTTTCCAAGTTCTCTGTCTTCTTTGGAAATTCTCTTTCTTGTGATTGTCCTTTTGGTAAATGTGCCATTGACAAACACAGTAACAGATAAAACTTAAAATGGCCTATAATCATCTTTTCTGTCTAGAGGAGATCTGATTTTCACAGGCCTTGTTGCCTCCCTGCTCCAGAAAGTGGATGTAATGGATTGTCCACCTTTTTTGGGAGTGTTGTTGCTACATCTTATCCCAGATAAGAACTTGTTTGGTAGGATGTCATTCAGTCATTTTAAAGAGGGGGAATTTCTGTTTTAAAAAGGAAACTATGGTAATGTGTTTTCATGGAGCCTCTTTGTTTCTTCTGAATAGTTCTTCAGTGGTGGTGGGGCACAATTCTCTGAAGGTCCAGAGGAACAAATGCTTCTTTTTTTTAAAACTTGTCATTATGTGGATCTGTTACATTGGCAGTTCTTCACAGTTATTCTAACTGATGGGTGTATAATCTGGTCATTAAGAACTGTTTAAAAATCATGTTTAGGGGACACCTGGGTGGCTCAGATGGTTAAGCGTCTGCCTTTGGCTCAGGTCATGATCCCAGGGTCCTGGGATCGAGCCCCACATCGGGCTCCCTGCTCCACAGGAAGCCTGCTTCTCCCTCTCCCCCTGCTTGTGTTACCTCTCTTGCTGTGTCTCTCTCTGTCAAATAAATAAATAAGTAAAATCTTTTTTAAAAAAACCATGTTTAGGATCTTTGTGAAATGCATTCTGCAACTTTTTGACTATTTAAACTGAGAATAGGCTTTGTTAGGACATTCAACATACTGGGTGTAATTGATTATAAATAATTTTGGAGGCTTTGTCATGGTTAGAACTGGAAAGCAACTTAAAATCTAGAGAAGATAAAACTTGTCAAGCTCATATAGCTAGGTTGGTAGTAGTAGAGCAGGGTCTAAAACGGAAATCCTTTATAATTTGTTTGAAATGTCAAAAAATTTTTCATCAGATATTGAAAGGATATTTAAAATATTTTCATTAATCATCTTCCTCTGACAATTAGAAGTGGATGAGAAAAGAAAAGTGGGAAGAACAAGTGGGCCTTTAGGTTCTTTTATTCTCTTCTTTCTGTGCCAGAACTGAGAAGGGTTTTTGTTTTGTTTTTTGTTGTTTTTTGGGGGGGGAAGCTTTTTAGAATATTTAAAAGGAAACTCAGTTTGCCTCCAGAAGTAATGATATTTACAAGAGAATTCTATTATACTAAGTATTCTATAATTTTTCTATGATCAGTGGAACTGCTTTATTATCTGATGAATTCAAGAGGAGTATATTACCTACCTTCCCACCCTCCTTGAGAAATTGCTGGATAAAAGACTGTTATTGATGGAAATCTGTCTGCTGAGGCAGACAGTAAACAAGCTAGTGGTCCCCTCTGGAATAACTGAGGTACTCTCACCTAACAAAGTAGGGCATCTTACAGTGGTTCTTATCCAGAGAAGTATTTTTGGATGTCACATTTACCTGACAGGTGCAAATGTGAAGTAATGACATTTAGGGGTAGAGGCCAAGGATTTTAAATGCTTGTTGTGCATAGACCAGTACTGTACAAGAATTGTCCTATGAAAAATGCATGGAGAAATATTTACATTGATTGGATACCAACTGGACTAAACCATCAGGATTTCTGAGAATCTTAAATATAAAAGTAGATACAACTGATATTGACTGTGTCAGATAATGTACTAGTCAGTTAACTAATGCCCAGAGGGGCTCTGCTATTTTCAATTATTAAATGTAATATAGTAGACATATAAATAACACTGTCACACATTTAAATTAGTTACATGGTGGTGGCAAGAAAGGGAGAAACTGTGTTACTAAAAATTAGAAAAAAAGTAAATATGTATGGCAGAGTGCCTGTTGAGTGTCCATTCGTGGTAATCATATGTAAGAAGAAAGTTTTTGAACCCTGGGATGGAAAAAGCACAATGAATCTAAGATCAGATCTAGGTTCAGAATCCATCTCTCATCAACTTGTAGCTTGTCAGTGTTAATGTTAGTTACTTAATTTCTTTAAAATGCTTTTTTAGTATTATATATATGATTGTACAAAAAACTGCTTAGATAAAAATTTAAGCCTATCAAAGGGCATAAAGTAAAAAGTAAAAGCACTGTTTCTCCCTGCCTGTCCCGCAAAACATTTGC